GTCTCCTTTCCGGTTACCTTATTCCTTCCTGTCGCGGCTGCATGACCCTGCCCTGGGGTCTGCTGTGATCCCTGCTTTCGGGTATCAGGTGTGATCTGATACCTTACCCCGGTGACTCGCTCGATTTTCTCGCAGTTACTGAGCATCAGGTCCCGGACTGTAGGGTTTCCGAACTCCACTAGGATGGGCCTAGCCTTTCGGTGCTGCAGGCTGTCTATAGGATCGATCCAGCGGCCGATCCTCTGCACCCTCTTAATAAGAGCATGTAGGGGTAACCGAGCAAATCTGAAGAGGTCCCGACCCTTCTAGGTTCTATGTCAGCCCGCGCTTTCGCATTCCTAATTATTTGTTCGTCGTTGTTATAAATAAGGATATTCCTGTTTCTTCCCATTGCCGTTTCGTTCTCTTTTTTGAGAAGCGACAATTCCCTCGCTAACGTGGTAACTTCCCCTTCTAGCTTCTTTACGATTTTCGTCAGCTCTTCCTGTGAATCCAGTGAGTTCTGGATTTTCACTCTGGTGTTGCCTACATCTGGAGCAGCTTTTCGACCGGCGCCCTGGGCCAGTGCTGAGCATATGTAGCAAAGCCACTGCAAGGCGTCCTTTCCTAAGTAGGCTTCGTAGGCTTTACGGTCTNTTTCGTTCTCTTTTTTGAGAAGCGACAATTCCCTCGCTAACGTGGTAACTTTTCCTTCTAGCTCCTTTAAGATTTTCGTTAGCTCTTCCTGCGAATCCAGTGAGTTCTGGATTTCTACTCCGGTGTTGCCTACATCTGGAGCAGCTTTTCGACCGGCGCCCTCCGCCATGCTGAGCATATGTCGCAGAGCCACTGCAGGGCGTCTTTTCCTACGTAGACTTCGTAGGCTTTACGGTCTAGGCGAGCACATGATTGGTGGTATCAGTATCCACAGCAGTCGCACTGAGTACCATCAGAGACCATTTTCTGGCACTCAAGAGCTCCATAGTGTTGTGCTGTTTAACGCCAGTCGCCGTTCATGTGACTACGCTTGATAACAAACCACTACTAGGTCGTAATGTACTGGTAGCTATGAAGGTTGTCCCGGATATCCAACAAATGACCGTCAGCAGAATTGACTCTTCAACGTGGAGGGATCGTTTCCCAAAATTATTCGATTGGTCCCTCGGACGAATTCTTTCTGGGAAACACCAAATTGTTTTGAAACCGCACGCTAAACCATTTGCCATCAGTCAACCACGCTCAGTACCACTGGCGAAGCGTGAAGCGGTATCCAAATTTATTCAAGAAATGCTATCCAATGGTTTGATTGAACACATGGATTCCTCCGAATGGGTACATCCTATGGTCTCTGTTTTGAAAAAAGATGGTAGTGTTCGTATCTGCAATGACTTGCAGGCTTTGAATAAACAGGTCCTGACCCACAAATTCGTTATTCCTTCATGTGAAGAACTCCTTGTCCAACCGGCCGGGGCGAGGATTTTCACAAATTTGGATCTACGCAACGCCTTCTTCCATATGCCCCTGACGGATGACTGCAAGCATCTTACAGCTTTTCTAACATCGGACGGGCTATTTCAGTACAAGGTACTCCCAATGGGATTGAGCTCCGCACCCGCTGCGTGGCAGAAGTTTATGACCCAGGCTTTCGCCGGGATGCCCGGCACTGTGGTTTACCTCGATGATATTTTTGTGTTCGGCTGTACTCAGGAGCAACATGACAAACAACTCGAAGCTGTGCTTCAAAGGCTTCAAGAACTCAAATTACGCCTCAATGTGCAAAAGTGTGCGTTTAGTGTCCCTAAGTTGCAGTTTCTCGGTCACACCTTGTCCCATGAAGGTGTACAACCCAGTGAAGAAAACACAACCGCCATCACGAATGCACCTGTCCCCACTGATGCTAAAAAAGTGAAGAGCTTTCTTGGAATGTGTTCCTACAATATGCGTTACATACTTGATTTTGTTTCCATTGCCGAACCGTTGCGCGCACTGACCGAAATGGGCGCTACTTTCTACTGTGGAACTGAGCAAGAACACGCCTTTTGTACATGAAAACAAAGGATATCATCTCTTCCGGTCTTGGCTATCTTTGATTCGACCTGCCCGACCTATGTTACAACAGACGCCTCCGGTTTGGGGCTGGTATCAGTTCTTTCACAAATGCAACATGGACTAGAG